CTTCTAGAATTCTCTAACCACTTGCTATGTAACAGGACATAGTCTTAGTTGCCATTTTCCTCCTTACCTTACCAAACTTTATAATGTCTTGTAACCCTTTCTGTTTTGAGGACTGTAGGACTAACTGCTTTGGGGAAATAGAGTTCAAGCTAACACTTTCTTGTTTGGGCTGGAATATTCTTTCAGAGTTTCAGACTATTTTTTTTTTTTCTCACACTGGTTATCTCCTGTACCACATCCAGGAGTATCTTTGGCACCAGTACTTTGGAAACTATACTTCCCACAGGCAGTTTTATAAAATGCATTAGTTAGCTTATTAATTTATGCCTTCATATTAAAAAATGTACCAAGAGTGCCTCTAGCCACAAAATATTTAGAGCTCTGAAATGGTGAACATTCTTGATCCTAACAAGTACTCAATCTTGGTTTCAGTAAGTGGCCTAACCTGATTACCTAACATCTCTAAACATTAGAATATCTGAGCACTCAGACCTTAGACCTTTTTCTCTTTCCACTCATTTTTTACAGAGAGCTTGTCCATTTCCATGACTCTAAATATGTCTTTGTATTGTTGGTGACTCCAAATACAAATATCCAGCCCCTCCTCACCACTGAACTTCTGACTCATTTCTAACTGTCTGCTAGTTATCTCCATTGTATTTCCATAGATATCTTAAATTTAAAATGTCCAAAATCAAATAATTGAGTCCCCATAGTCTAAACTTGCTTTTCCTCTTTCTTATCTCAGATAACCTAAGTTGCTCAAGCCCCAAAGCTTGAATTTCTTACATGCCATATGCATTTCTTCAGCAAGTGTTAGTGGATACTCATTTTCAAATACATCTCAAATCTGCTTACGTATTATGTCCTCCAGCATTGACTTTCTAGTTCAAACTATCCTCTTTTTTCATAGCAACCTCTTCATGGACCCCTTGCTCTCGTGCCTTTTCTCCACCTTAAAAGTTAAATTAAATCACAGTTGTCTGCTGCTTGAAATCCACTGGCTTGTCATCAACTAGGTCCAACCTAACCTGGCTCATAATTACCTCTCTGCCTTTGTTCTCTGTGAGTACCCCTCTCACTCCCCTCCAAGTACTTTGGCCCAGCATTCTTCAGTTATCCAGGGCACATTCCAGGTTCAGAGTATTTTCTCTTTGTTTTGAACTCCTTTTCTCCAGATATTTATGCTTTGCTTCATGTAGATTCAACTCAAATGGTGTTTCCTGAAGGGAGCCTTTTAATGTTTTTGTTAGTCATTCAGGTTAAGATAACATCATTTAAAATCCCTTACTGTGTTTTATTGTTTCTCCATAATTTTTATTTGATGATTATGCATCTATACCAAGACATAAACTGCATGAGGACAGGAAGGGCAAGAACATTGTTCTATTCACTGCTGACTGTTAACAATTGAAAGAGTGCCTGGTTGATATGATATATTAAGTATGTATTTGTGGAATGAATTAGTGAATGTATGAATAAATGGCTATACCTAGCCTGTGTGAAAGATTCTCAAGGAACACTCAAGCTCTCTGGACAGGATCCATAGTGCCCAGATCACCACTCCTGTCCATAACTGGATCACGTGATGTGTGTGTGCCTCCTGCTGCTACATGATATCCTCCCTTTCGAGTCCTTGGCAGCATTAGTGAGTTCCCTCTTTTAGCTACGCTGGCAGCTTGCAGTTTCCTTCTCCATCACACAAAATGGCCTTTTAAAATTAATTTTATAGCGTAGCACATGCTTATATAGTTTCCGCTCGGAGAGTAGGGTTATTTCATAGTAGTGGTGGTGAGACCAGAAAATCAGGAAAAATAAAATAAATATTGGATTAATTAACTTCCAGAATTCTGAAGGAACCTACAGAGACCTTGAAGACAGTGAATATTTTTATGAAATCAGAGCAGTTGGGAAAGACAACAAAAAATTGTTCTATTTCTAGTTAGAACTCACACATAGGCTCATGTGTTCCATGCTTGGTCTTGAGTCCAACCTGGCTATAAGATTTTTTAAAAAACAAAGTTGTCTTCAAAGATGACAAAGAGAATAGTGAGAACATATCATATGAATAATGGTCAAATAACAATTGTTGCCATTACTTGCTATGTGGCAGGCATTATTCTAGATGCTTTTTGTAAAAGTTACTTAGTTTTTATCCTATGAAGTAAGTACTATCATGTCTGCTTGCAGATAAGGAAATGATGACACAGAGAGGTTAAATAACGTCCTCAATAACACAGTTCGTAGGAAATAGGGCCAATACTGATTTCAGTGTCCATGCTGTTAACCATCATGCTATTATCTGAACAGTTGAAGAAGGAGCTACTGAAGAAAAACTGGGCTCAAGGGGAGTTTGAGAAGGCAGCTGTAGTATAGCTTTACTGTCAAGCTCAAGGATCACCAACTTCTTCCCCAAACTCCCGTTCTGTTCAGTGTGTCCTCCTATTAAAAGTAGGTATAACAACATTTGGCTGCTTGTATCTCTCTTTTAACTTACATTTAACCTATATTAAAAGGATGTACTTAATTAATTTTTGAGCCATTAAATTTAGTGCTTGACATATAATCAACATTCAGTTTTGCTGAATAAAAAAACAAATGAATGATCTTTAAATTTATTGGAACTGTCCTGTTGAACAGGAAATTAAAATTTTAAATAAAGCCTACCAAGAGAGCCTGCCATGCGTGCCTGCCAAGACCAGGTGGACATGTTCGTGTCTGGACAAACCTGATAACAGAACATTCCTTCCTCCATGTTCTCTTCTCTAACAGATGATCTTAAAATGTAACTTAAAATGTTCCTCTGTGTAACCTCTCTTTATTGACCTTGCATAATGGATGGCCTTGCAATATCACCTAAAATAAAGTCCTTTAGCAATCCAAGATGTCACCCAACCCTCCAATCGTACCACACCAAATGTACCCTTGTACCTCCCCACTTGCTCTCCCCATAATAAAAGCCTATAACCCCATTGGGCAGGGTTCTAACTCTTTGGGAGAGATCCCAGTCAAGTCCGCCGGGGTAATAAACTGCCTCCTAAACCTACTCAGTGCCATTTCTTCCTATGTTTAGTCTGTTCTATATCACGATGGTAGGTCAGCTATTCTGTGAGGCAGTGAGCTCCTGATCACAGGCTAATTAGTTAAGCTTGGGCTGGATGCCTGGTGAGAATTTGCAGAAGGAAAAAGAGTGTCATGTTGAAGAGAAAGTCTAGGCCAGATCTTCTTTTGTGAATTATCTAACCCCGTGATGAGTTAGTCTTGACTTTTTCCTCCAGACATTTATTGACACCTACAATGTACCCAGCATTATTGTAGGCATTTAAGATATAAAGCTAAATACAGCTTAGCCAATATCCATAAGGAGCTGCTGTCAGTGGACAATTAGGAAAAGAGGTGCTTAAGGGTATAGGTGTAAATATTTAGTAGGAAAAAATGAGCAGACAAAAATTTTAGAGATATTTTAAATAAGGAAGGGAGAAAGTCTGTTGAAGTGGAGAACTAGATAAGGAAAAGATCCTAAAATTGCCTCTCTGAGAAGGGACAATTTGGGGAGTGACGCCCACAGGCTATTTTGCTATTGGGGAATTCCTGTAGTAATAATGTATTTGCCATCAAGATTCAGTGCAGGGCTGGATGTAATTCAGTAGAGATTAATTAATTTGTGAAGTATTTGGAAGTTCTTGAAACAAATATACCTTCTCTTGTTAGTCTCCAGAATTCAAAAAGAGGATTCAGTCTCCCTCTTCCCTTAACCCCACAGCCCTACAAGGGCATTAACATGAGATGGAGCAGTCTGTTAACTCAAGGTAAAGTAAGGTTTCTGATGAGTTGGGCAAGGACTATAGCAATAAATACAGAAGGATCCTTTAGTTTCCTCTCTGACTGATTTGCCTGGACAGTGAGGGAATAGTGGTATTTGTTTCTTTTAGGACTCTGGTCCTGTGGGCTGCTTTTTCACACATACCCAAGTATGTCTGAATACAGAATCATCCTTTCGCCAGGACATGATGCCTAGGTGGATTGGGGATTCCCCTGTTTTGTTTAAATCATAGTTATCTTTGAATTTGGCTAGCATGTTCATAATTAGTTTACTGACAATTGTTTTTTTTTCCTTCTTATACCATATGCTATTCCATGATTCATCAGCTTTGAGTCTGTTGCTTTGAAGGTGAAACAATTTCTTCCAATGTTGATATTTCAAAATCTCGTAGATAACAAGCATACACATATGTATAGTCCTTTCAGAAGCTTTAAACATTTGGAGATGAATGAATTATGCTGCTACAAATGGAAAGGAGTGTTGCAAAATTGCAGTGGTGATATCCAATCATCTTTTGTTGGGTGGTTCCTTGAATGCTGATATTGATAAAGCCTGTATATTTTATTTCTTTGTCTGTTCTTGTGAAATTGTTTGTGGTATGCATAATGAGATTTTTAAAGTTTAACATTTTACTTACTTGCATTAATTTACATGTATTTTAATATTTTAGACTCACAAGGTCTTTATTTTTAGAAGTTTTAAATTCCAAGTAAATCATAACATAAGCTATTAACATTGTAATAGTGCCTTGTCTTCTATATTTAATGTGTAACAGTGATTATTCAAACCTTAAAATTCTTTTACTTTTTGATACCAACAGTAACCTTTCAAAATATTTTCATGTAGGTTACATTATGTTTTATAAATGCAAACCAAAGCAGTTATTTCTACATGGATACTTCCTAGTATTTAGAAGATTAGGCTTCTAATAAACATTCACTGTATTAGCTTTTTGCATATAACTTTGATCAGTGTAGTACTTAGTATGTTTGTTGCCTGTTTCTTTTTACTCTGAATGTTGGGGTGATTGTTTTTCAATGTAGAAAACCTTTTTATAATTTCATGGTTGTAAATACTTGTTTAAATATCTGTTTAAGTTGTACATTTGAAGAGAGCTTTTAAAAGATTATAATACCCAGCATGTCTTCCTTCTCTTCTCCCCCTTACCTTGTTTTAGCTTCTCTTTGGTTCAGGTGTGTTGGTGTCTCTAAGTCTTTCTGGGCCACAGCTGGAGAAAGTGGTGATTGACAGAAGCCTGGTGGGGAAGCTCATCTCAGACACCATCAGTGATGGTAATTACCCCCATGTGCAAATCAATTGCCTACATTAACAGTGGGACAAGAGAAATAGTGCATCAACAGGTAGACTAATTATTACCACTGGGGACCTGCAAACACAACAAGTAATTGCTTGTAATAGCATACTTACAACCTCTGGGACCTATGCAAGTTTCAACCAAAATTTAATATCAGTGATATTTTTTTCTTTCTTGTTAAGTGTTAGGCTTATATTCTGAGTATTTTCTACCCTTTCTTAAAAAAAAAGAACATATTTTCAAAATAGATTTTATATTTTTTCATAATTATTCTTCTATTTTGACATTTCAGATTCTTTCATTTCCAAATGAATTTTCAGTGAAATAACACAAATATGTCAACACTGCCACCAATTAAAAAAAATTATACATGCTTTGGCTTTTGTAGGAAGATTCGTTTTTACTAAGGCCTGAGAATACTAACTTTTGAGATATTTTGTGGTTATATTTCTAAAGTTTTAAAAAAAGTACCATATTCTCATATACTAAATTAATCTGGTTCTACCAGGTGACACGAGTCAGTGTGACACAGGCATATATAAAAGATTTTAAGCCATTTTTTGAATAGTGAGGTAACCAACTTATAGTGAGCCATGAAGACTCTAGGCTGGTGCCAACCTATTTATTTCATTAATTCAAGAAAACAACCATATAAGGTATATTTACATTTTTATAATAAGGAAACTAATGCTGAGTTACTGTGGCTCAGAGTATAGCTAGAAAGTGACAAGGCAGAGATTTGAATAGAGGTTGTGACTACAACTCTCATTTTCTTTTCCATTGTACTATGCTGATTTCTGAATTTTTATGATCATGTCCTTTTATTCAAGGTAAAAAGAACTCTAAAGGTAGATTGTGTTACCATAAAAGATTGAAAATGTCCAGTATCTTGACTAATCAAAGGGAAATGTAGCCAGTGGAAAGGACAAAGGTGAGAGAGCAGAAATTTTCCTTTGTGTGCTCTCACCAGCTACCTCTGAATAAATCAGAAACAATCACATCATCTTAAAAGCACTCTGCAGGATGGTTGTAATTAGCAACATCACAACATTACTGACTATGACTAGCAGGGTAGGATTGTGAACATGCTATTTCCCCTTCCTTGTGGGATGTACTAAGGAAGCTTCCCTGTGGAAGAGGCTCTGTTTTCATATTCTGACAGTCAAACCCTTTGTTGACATTGCAAGTGAAATAGTGACTGATGATTTTGTCATATTGATGCTCCTGTATAAGAATTTTCAAGGAAACTTTTAATTCTTCCAACACTATTCATGTCTCTGAGCTATCTTTTTTCACTTGTTTCTTTTATTTATACCTAAAATAATACACTCTCATGGGACCATGATAACAATGCGATTTCTTGGCATTTCTCCAGATTCTGCTGTAATTGTGTAGATCCACTGTTGGTCACCACTTGCATGCTAGGGCTGTAAAAATAAAGAAAAATGTATAAAACATTTAATTTCTTTATGCTAGGGAAAATGCAAAAGATTTGTTAAATCCCTATTATATGTTTTAATCAGTAATTTCCTATACCGCTAATGACCCTTTTTGTAACCCATGTTATCATCAACCTACTTGTATGTTTCTGAAATACAGCAGTGGAAGTATTTTTGCTAGCATTCATTATTAAACATTAATTTATGTAATGTACATATTCAGCATAATATGCTTTATTTCATTTAACTTTTATTTATTTTATCCTCAGAAGAAAGATTGCTGATGAAAATATTTTAAATTAAAAACAGTGAGATTGGTAGAGGACACTGATCAGTGTCTCCTGATCAATCCACTTTATTCCATCAGATGGTTTATATTATATAAATACAGAATTAGAGCAAAAATCAGTGATTCCAGTTAATATTTATCTTCTGAAAATAGCTTTTTATAATATTTTAGTTTAAAAATCTATTATAATTTAATCTCATTTGATACTATCAAATTTTTTTAGCCCTTCTTACAGATAGTTTCATCCTCTTATCATTTTTGGCACAAAATAAACTGTGTTTTATTCAGTTTACTAAGAAGATGGATTCTCTTGATGTAAACAAACGACTGGAAAAACTGTCAGCCTTGGATTATAAGGTAAAGATTTCAACTTAGATGGCCATATTATTAATTTTTAAAGTAAGAATATCACATAAATTAATGTTATGCTTATTCTTGGAAATTTTTGGATTTCAGAAAAATCAGAAGTATCATAGGATTTAGCTTGATTGCCTACAAATAGTGGTCAAGTTTTCTCATTGTTTAGAGATTGGGGATGTCTAATAATTGCATATATGAAGCACTTTATGTGGTAGTTATGGAAGTACAAGATGAATAAAAGAGGCAAGTTAATGTTTTTGAAAATGGTTTTCTTGCTGGTAATAGTGTGTATACCATTTTCATTTTCTCCTAAGAACTTATATAGTTGCTTTCATTTCTGTTTCATAAGAAATGAAAGAAGAAAAATGTGCTCAAAGATGAATACAAGAGTATAATACACAAGGAATGGGCAGACCCCACCATACACCCACACACAGACAAACTATAACTGGAGAAAAATTTCCTTCATATGTAGTAGCTTTTAACTAACTCCAAGTGCTGTGTTTCTTTGTATCAGAGACTTTACATCTCACCTGTTAAGGCAGGATTTTTATTTTAAATGACGTGTTTAAGTTTTACCACATTACATTTTAACTGCCTCAAGGGCATACTGTCTTCTAGGATGAGTAATACATTTTCTAGGCTGTTTCAGTTCAGGGCCTCTTTTCAGCAGTGACTTGTGTTTGCAGGATTGATCCAGCCTCTGTGACGTGGATTTGAGACAGTTCACTGTTCACTAGGAACAGAGCTGATATACAGCTTCCTTAAAAAAGATGCACATTTGTGCCATACCTGGACTATGTATAGCAAGGGTAAAGATTTTTAGAAGTCAGCTTTCTGTCTTAAAATCTGTGTATGTTTGGAAAATAATATTTAACCTAAGTTCTTGTCCTTTGGGATTACTTATTTATTGTGGGGGAATGTAATCTTATTGAGAAGAAACATCTATTCTTATTTAAAAAGGTTTTTAATGTAGAATAAAATACTGTAAATGAGTTTTTTCATTGTGGTTTTAGGCTGCAGTCTGGTTTTGCTTGCTAGTTTGTGGAACTTCTATGAAACTTTGTATAGTATTGATTTTCTTTAATTGGAAATTCATGGTACTCACTATATCTGGTCAGTCAAAGTGATTCTGTTAATATTGAGTGAAATAAATCAGAAACATGAGATTATATATTGCATGATTTCTCTGACATGAAAAACCCAAACTAAAAATAATTTAAACAGCAAAATAAAAGAGAAATGGTAAGAATCAGAGGTAGACTCTATGGAAATGGAATAGGAATCTAGGGGAAAAGGAGGTGGGGGAGAAGTAGTAAAAATGATCAAGATGCTATATGTGAATGTACCAGCTCCCTAAGATGAATGTAATTATTATATATCATAAGCTTATACTGGTAAAAAATGAAAATTTAAAAATGAGTCCCTTTAATGTTATTAAAGAAACGTTATTTTCTAAGTGACTAACTGTAGAGTTATTTAAAATGTTTACTTATTAATATTGGGCTTTTAAAAACATCATTGTGCTTTAACTCAAGTATTTAAAATAAATGCTGTTAATACCATTCTATAAAATTTTGTATGACTAGTTCATTCATCTTAGGTGTCATGGATAGGTTAATGAAGTCTTCTCAACTAACGAATGTAGCTACTTGGAAATGAAAGGACAGAAAAACTGTCAGGGTGTCACCTTATCTTATGAAAAGATTTAGAAAAGAGACCTAATATTTGGGCCCTTATAATTTAAGGGAATTAATTAGCTTATTCTTTCTGACTTTGGATTTGGGAAGTTAGAATTATAGGTACTTTCATATCTGTTTCCCTTTGCAAAACTCTTTGCTCAGTTTTTATAGATGCTTCATAACTAATCAAAACTATCACTTATCTATTGGGAGGATATTTTAAGAAGCTTATATTAATTTTATTTGCTGATCTGGTTATCAAGAGAGAATACTGACATCATTAAATTAAGAGGAAACATGAAATTTCAAACAATATTTGTATTATGTGAGAACTGAAAATGCCAATCATGCGTTTTAACTATTTCCTCTAAAAATTTGTAAATAACATGCTTGCATGATAATTTGTGTGTTAAGATCTAATGTGTATGTATCCTAATAACTTAGCAATTCCATTACATTTCTCTCAAGAATGTTAAAATAATTACATTAAGAACATAAATACAAGAATTTACACTGAAAAGCATAAAGTGTACATGTGTTTTGTCATTACCCATTTGGATTTTAAAACAAGGAAGTTATACAGATTATTATAGTTTTGCCTTTCTTTATTGCTATACCATAACTTAATTATTTTAGATTTTAAATCATTTTGACAAAGAAAATTTCAGGGTAAATATTTTGAAACTATTGACCTTTAACAAGTTTTCCTGTCTATATTTTAAAAATTCAATTCAGTTTAAAAGCGAAGGGACAGTGCATGGAGTTAAATGTTTACCATGAAAGAACAACACTGGTAATTACTTTGATTTCAGTTCCTTTTGATGTGCATTCACAGGATGAAGAGGTCAATAATATTATGGCCATGCAAATAGAAAAGGGTTCCTTTTGACCATATTGAAAAAAAAAATAGCAGGGGATTATTAAAGCATTAACCTTGATTTTAATGGCCTTGGTTGAGTGGTGAGATCACAATTTGGATGAGCCTGATTATTTACTAAATACAATACATAAATGCAACGGGTTCTTAACACCCATTGCACTCTGGCATTATCGCATTACTGCCATCCTTTGTTGCCTTGCAGACAGGAATATGAAAGCAATCTGTCATGTAGTGAGACTGGCTCCAGAAGCATTTCTCTGATAAGAAGACCCCCTGCCCTTTGCTAGTGTCTGGTCCAGTAGGCTTAGCCATGCGCTTAATCCCCAGAAAGTGGTTCGATTATTGCTGACCAGCAATGGCAAGATAGTTTTTTTTCTTCCAAGCTATCAACCTTCCATTAATTCCACAAGCAGAAATACGGTGCAATCTATATTTCCTTGGCATGTGTCACCCAGATGGTGTCGTGCTTATGTTTTCAAATAACCATGTTCCAAAATAACATAGTTTGAATAATAAATTCTACAAATCCTTCCTAAGAGAGAAAAGCATAATTCTCAGAAGCTGCATAAACTTTTACGCATGATACTATAGCTTATCCCTTTTATGCAGAATATATGTGTAGATGTCTCATATACTCTTTAAAGGGATATTTGCCTTAAGTTTTTCCTTTTATTGTCGTCAGTCATTGTTAACATATTATGTCTTAAATAGTAGTCAGACACTCTTGGTCAGCAATACGAACTTGTCATTTAATACAGCTGGTCTTAAATCTTATGTGTAGGTTGATGCTGTCAAGCAACCATGACTGTACATTTTGATATTGATTGGAATTGCTGCATCCAATTTTCCTCCCTAACTCAGATTTCTTCTTTTTCCTTTTCTCTGCTAAAAATGGGGAAAATTTTGAACATATGTCTTTTTTATATATGTGTCAAAAGAATTTAGTAAATTCTGACACCTTCATAAGCACATGTTTAACATGCATATTTACTTGCATGTATGTACATTTACAGATGCTTTAATTTTTGTAGTATTGTGAGGATTTTGCTTCTTTTAAAAGAAATTATTGTATGCTTTTTGTTAAACCATTAGATTTCCTATTGTGAAATACCTGGCCCGGTAAATAGGACAACAGAACGTCGTCTGGCTATCAATTGCATTCAGGATATAGTTATTTGTTGGTGGCCACTGGTCAGTGATGATGCTTGGCCGTGGGCCCCACTTTCTTCTGAGAAGGACAGAGCCAATCTGCTGCTGCTGGGCTACGCTCAAGGAAAACTGGAGGTAAATATAAAAGAAATACATACATTTTAAATGAAGTGCAAATAAAGTGATCATATTAGTTTGTCCATGCTGAAATAATTGAATTTTACACTTATAACTTGTTTTTTTTTCACATATTCAGTAAAGGAGATTATATATGAAATGAAATCCTAAAAGTTATCAGAGTTAGGGTATAACTAGAAAATTCCAGAACTGACTGGAAATAGGATAGTGATTAAGATCAGAGGCTTCCAAGTTCACATCCTAGCCTTGCCACTACCTAGCTCTCTATAGTTGAGCAAGTTACTAGGTGCTCTGTGCTGTAGTTCCATTGTTTGAAAAATAAGAGTTCATGAAGATGAGAAGTTAACTAGCCACTGTTGCCATTCCTGCTATTGTTATTAATACTGTCATGTTGTTTGCCCCCTTATTTCATGCCTTTGAAAGTTATTTACCAGTTAACCTCTTGAAACATTAATCAGTCAGTTGACAAACTTTTTCAAACCATCAGCAGGGTAGGAAGATGTAAGGAATGTTATTGAGCAGCTATCTTCTCATTTCAGTATGTCTGAAAAGGGTTGAAGATAAAATTCTTACTGTGTTTCTATCAATGGATTAATCCATCAATCCATGCATGCATGCATTCATTCATCCATTCAGTCACACAGGTGAACCTGTATGTATTTTCAGTTTGTACCAGTACTTTAAATATAAAATTTTCTGTTTCATTTTTATAATTAAAAAAAGGGCTTTTGTCCCTTTTTATTGAAGTTTTGCCAGGGTGAAATGGTATGTTCCTCTATTTTCCTCTAAAACTGTTACTTTTTAGATTTCAAGTATTTCTTAGAATTAGTATTCTGAGATGAACATGTATAAGTATATGGTTATCTATGTTTTAGTTTTATAAACTTTCAGGCTGTGTTTTAGGACTAAAGAGTTCTGTTATACATGTCTTCCTTAAGAATCCTTTTTTGCTATACAGTTCTTAGTTTTCTTTTCCTGGAACTTTCTCAGTTCAGTTGCAGTGACCAAGGTAACTGGTAGTGCTTTAGGTGTGGATCTGAGCAAGTATTTTGTGTTCCTCTGCATTCTGGCTTGCACCTACTGTTTTATTGATCTTGGGTCCAGAATCTCATGGAAAAAATAACTTCATCAGAATGACATAATGTAATTAAGCTAATTATAATCCTTGCAAATATTTTGCTATATAATAAAAGTAAAACTAATTAAATAAATTAATTGACATGAGTACACCGACATGTTAGAATACTAATTCTAAGAAATACTAGAAATATAAAGAATGCTTGAAATCTAAAAAATAGAAGTTTTAGAGGAAAATGTAGGAACATACCATTTCACCCTGGCAAAACTTTAATTCCTCATTGCTTGGTGCTGTCTAGGTCATGGACTTTAGAGTTTAGATCTTAATAGAGTTTATGCTCTCTAAGCTTTTGCCTGCTTCTTCCTAATTTCATATTGAATGGCGTTAGGTTGATTGTGTATCCTAACTGGCTTTCGTTTTCTTAACTTTTAAAACAATAAATTTCAATCTAGTAAGTAACCTCTAGGTTATCTTGTGGTTATCTGGATTCTGAAGCACAGTTCTGATTTAGCCATCACCCATATAAGTGACTTCAATAGACTGTGAAACCAAACTCATCCCCACACTGAAAAACTCATGATGCTTGGCCTTGGCCTACCTTTTCAGTGTTATTTCCTTGTATAGATTTATGCTGTAGTCAGGTGAGTTTGCTCATTAACTCATTATTTCTCATCTTGCCACGTACATATTAATGACATTTCTGCATGAAACCATGTCATTTGAAAACTATTGAGCTGTTTTTAATACCAGGAAATATATATAAGAAGTTATCCTGCCAGCAAGGATCTTAATCTCTATCAGTGAAAATGTGTAAAGTGAATTAAAATTTTGAAATGGCATAGCAATAGAATATTACGTTAGCACGTGAAAAGTCCTAAATTCAGTGAAAAAAATTTATGCGTGGTGCTGTAGGTAGACTATGTGTGAGCTATACTAAGAGACAATAGGAAGTGGTTGACTGTACTAGAGAGATGCTAAGGAAGATTAAAGAAGCTTCAGAAAGTGCTCAAATATGAGATTACACCATTTTACTTTCTTTTATTATCCTTCTAGGTTTAATATGAAAATTGTACTATCTCTGTGGAGTGATTTGTCTAGCTTTTTCTTTTCTCGTCTGTGAAACAGAACCAAAAGAAATAGTACTTGAAATTTTGGTAAATTTACTTGTTACACTGACTTGGTGTGGTGTCTTTCAAGGCGAATAGATTATGTAATTACTGATTCTATTTTTAACAAGTTGTCTTTTTCTTGGAAATTTGATGTTTTGCTCATTTTCCATAATTCGAAACATTTACACATTTTTCAACAAGCTAGTTTGACAGAGTAGCCCAAATCCTAAAACAAAAGCTCTTCCAGAAAGAAAGAAGAAAGGTGTATTTTAATATTATTAGGAGTGAAAAGGAGGACATAGAAATTTGATTTCTGTAAGCTATCTATGTATCTGAATATGTTTTGATAAAGTTTTATTTGATCTTTGTGCTGTGCTGTGTGTGTGGGGGGGGGTGTGGGGTGTGTGGCTGGGGATTGAACCCAGGATTTCATACTTGCTAGGCAAGTGCTGCTCTGCCACTTACCTACACCTCTAGACCGTGCGTGATTTTTGTAATAACCACTCGTTGCATAATGTTCTCCTTTTCACTCCTAATATGTTAAATATACAATTCATGTTCTTTCCTTCTCTCTCTCTGGAAGAGTTTTTGTTTTACAATTTGGGCTATTCTGTCAAAACTAGTTTGTTGAATAAATTGTTAATGTTTCCTTTTCAGAAACTCGGTGTGAACTTTAGTATGCAAAAGATAAACAGTTTTTGAAAGAAATGTCTAGAAAAATAAATATTTTACTTTTTGTGTTGAAGACATAAGGTTTAATTATGAGGTACTGTTTTTTTCTTTTTAAAAGAATATCATAAATGAAAACCACCAATCTTTTAAGGTGTGGTATTAAAGCATATTCCTTAAAATTGTTTTCACTAGCAGTCAGGAAACTTTCTGAACTAATCATCAGATTAAAGAATATAATATATTTTTAAAACCTAAAATTCAAACTAAAAAAACAAAGTCTCTGCTGGGTGTGGTGGTGCATGCCTCTAATCCCAGCACTGGGGAGGTTGAGGCTGGAGGATTGCTTGGAGTTCCAGCCCAGCTTCCCCTACAAAGTGAGTTCAAGGCCAGCCTGAATTGCATAGTAAACTCTGTCTCAAAAACATTTAAAAAACAAAAAAAAAGTCTCATAGAGAAGACATTCAATTTTGGTCTGTTAAACCATAGAATTTTTAAGAAGCATTTCCCCTTTGAATTTAATCAGAAAAGGTATTAAGCTTTATTTGAATAGTGGCAGGATCCTAGATCCTAGAACAGTAAGTAGAGTTCCTAGTCTTAGGAACATATTACAATCACTTGCTAAGCTTTTAAGGGATCCACCCAGACCAGTTCCCTCAGAATCTCTGGAGTGGAGGTGATATCAGTATGTTTTACAGGTTTCCTTGAGGATTTTCGTGTTTATCCAAGTTGAAATCCACGGCTTAATAAAAAACTGAAAAAAAAACATTAAAGCCATCTTTTTTGTATAACAGACCATGGAAAGGATAAAGCCCACATACTGAACCAAATGAGAGTTTTAACAGTAAATTCTAAGTAGAAAACTGGCTTACTAAGCAGCTCAAAAAGGAAAAAGAAAACAAAGGAAACATAGGCATAAGCTCTCTGTGACTGAATTATCTGTCTTTCAGAGGAAAAACATTTTTTAATTTATTTTATGGATATTAGAAAACCGCTGTCTAATTTCACACAACAGAGTTCTAAACAAGTCCATATCTTAATTAGAAGCACAGAGAAGAGGTAGTTATGTAGTATAAGAAAAAAAAATTCTTTTGAAAAAATTCAATAGATAATGTCAAAACAAATTTTTTACCTTTAAATTCATAAAAATATTTTTTTACAGTGTTTGTGTATATTATATAACTAATATGGTGGTGATTTTCATTTAAATTTTCACATACTCTTTAAACTTTCTTTTGAAAACTTACTGCAGCTTCCTAGAGCTACATCATTCAGTTTGACAATGATATGAGAACTTACTCTGACCTGTTATACTCAGCAGGTATTTTAACTGTTCAGATGTATTCATTTGGTAATGATTTCTGAATGTGGTGGTAATTTCACAATATCTTATCCAGACAAGATTACCTGAGCTAGCTTTGGTGGTGCATGCTTGTAATTCCAGCACCCTGGGAGGCTGAGTAGGCAGGAGGATCATAAATTTGAGCTCAGCCTTAGAAAGTTAGTGAAATCCTATCTTAAAATAAGTAAAAGAAAATTAAAAGGGCTGAGGATTGTAGCTCAATGTGAAGGCCCTGGGTTTAGTTCCCAATATGGCAAAATGAAAACAGAAACAAGCAATAATTTGTTTACCAAATTAATCAAAAACTCATAAACAGAGCTCAAGTTACAGAGCTGTTATTGGGGCTCGGGAAATATCTCATAAATTACTCTCTTTTCATAAGAATTAAACAGTACTTTTGCAGTGATATTTCAGGAGTGGTATCCAATAAGAAAATAGTAATGTGACCGTCTGTTAACATAGTATACTTTGACAAAAAAGGAATTTAGAAAATTTATTACAGATATATTTAACTAAAAAACCAAAATACCTAAGAAACATCTCTTTCAAGGAAATACATGTATTGTGTCAGCCTTCATCCAACCAAATGACATATGTGTTGTACTGTACTATATAGATGTCCGTTTTTAAAAAGTCTTGTTATAAGATAAACATATAAATAAAATCTCATAAAATAAATACATCACTGAATGAGGTATTATTGTAAGGGAAACGCTTTTGAAAATAGCAGCCAGGTTGAAAAACTTTGTAGCATCCTAAAGTACCTCTTGTATTCAGTCACAGTCTTAGGCTGTCCCTG